TTTGCTTGCGTCGTATATCAGATTTTTTTCCTTTTTTCTTCTTTCCGTTTCTTATTCTTGTCTTTCTTATTGGCGTCGGCCGGTGTGCCTCTTTCCCCCCGCCCCCCCCCCCCGCCCCCCCGCTCCGTCGGACGGGGCGTGCATGCGTTGGTGTGTGTGTGTGTGTGTGTGTGGGCCCACTGCCGGCATGCGTGCCTGGCTGCTTGCTTTGCTGCTGTTCCCCCCCCCCCTTTCTTTTTCTGTTTGCCTTTTGGCCGATGTTGCCGGCTGCGCGAGGGAGGGCGGGGGAGTGGAGGGGAGGGGAGTGAGCGGGGCCGCGGGGCCGCTGCCATTGCTGTGGTGTGTGCCGCACATGCATGCGTCCATGCACACGCACGCCGGGCAGGGGCGGGAGCGAGGCCATTAACACATCCATTTTTTTTTGTACACATGCGTGCCCGCAGCCATATATATACAAATATTTATGTCAAGGAGGAACCCAGGCAGAGATATGCATTTCCACCTTTATATAAATAGTACACACACACACACACACTCCAACGCATGCAGGCGGAGACGACGGGGGGGAAGGGGGGAGAAGAGAAGTTGAAACACATTTTTTTTTTACTTTGACTGGACGCTTCTTTTTATTGCTGCTACTATTCTCGTTGGCGTGTGCTCTTTTGTGGCTGGCTGGCTCCTGCCTATGTCTTTATTTCTCTCTCTCTCTCTTTGCGTGTGATCGTCGCCTGTGTTTGCGCTATTTCTTTTCCTCCTCCTTTTCCATTTTTGTGTGTGTCTGGCACGGTCGCCAGGGCGTCAATCCATGCAGCTGAGCAACAAAACCGTCGATCAACTGCCACCGCAGGTGGAGCCGTTGGGCTTCGACCGCGGCGGCGTCCGTCCGGGCATTCTGCACTTCGGGGTCGGGCAGTTCTGCCGCGGGCACCTCATGTGGTACGTGCGCGACATCCTCCGCCTCTCCGCGGCGGAGGGGGGGCGCTACAACGACTGGGGGGTCGTGGGCGTAAACGTCCTGCGCGAGCGGGCGGGCAGGCGCATGCAGGCGAGCTTCCGGCGGCAGGACTGCCTCTACACCCTCACCCTCACCTCCGCGCGGGGGCGACCGGGGCACTACCTGATGGGGTCCATGCTGGACTACATCTACGCCCCGGCGGAGCAGAAAAGGCTGCTGCAGATGCTCGTGGACCCCCGCATCGCCATCCTCTCCCTCACCATCACGGAGGGCGGCTACAACATTGACGAGAAGCGCGACGAGTTTGACTGCAGCGACGCGAGGGTGCAGCGGGACCTCCGCACCCCGCGGGCCCCCACCACCGTATTTGGGTACGTTGTGGAGGGCCTCCGCCGCCGCCGGGAGGCGGGGGTGCGGCCCTTCACCGTCATGTCCTGCGACAACCTTCGGCACAACGGCGATGTGGCGAGGAAGGCGGTGCTTGGCTACGCCCGCGCCGTGGACGCGGAGTTGGCGGCGTGGATTGAGGCCAACGTCATGTTTCCCAACAGCATGGTTGACCGCATCACCCCCGCCACGACGCCGCAGGTGCGTGACCACCTCACCGCAGGCACCGGCATCGACGATGCGGAGCCGGTGCAGGCGGAGGATTTCTGCCAGTGGGTGATTGAGGACAAGTTTTGTGGCGGGGCGCGACCGCCGTGGGACCGCGTGGGCGTCACGTTTTCCAGCGACGTGGCTGGCTACGAGCAGATGAAGGTGCGCATCCTGAACTCCTCGCACCTCATGCTCACCTGGCCCGGCCTGCTCCTCGGCCTGCAGTACGTGCATGAGGCGCTTGCGAATGAGGCGATCCGCCGGCTGGTGGAAGAGTCACTCGACGAGGACGTCCTCCCGACGCTGCGGGCCCCGGCGGGGGTGAACCTCGTCGCCTACAAGCAGAAGGTGCTCTCGCGCTTCATGAACGCCGCCCTCGGCGACCAGCTGCTGCGCGTAGCCGGCGACGGCTGTTCAAAACTGCAGGTGTTTTGGGCCAGCAATATTGCCGCCGTCCTGCGGGGGGGGCGGGACCACGCCCGCTTCGCCTTCGGCCTCGCTGCGTTCCTCGAGACGTTGAAGGGGCAGAGCGAGAACGGCGGGAGCTTCCCGGTGTTTGAGCCGAAGCTGCCGAAGGACTACAGGGCGCTTGTGTTGGACAAGGACTTGGCCGCCCCGCTGCGGCTCCCCGCGTTCGACGCCTGGCGCGCCCTGGACCACGCGCAGCTCGATCGCGACGTCGTCGTGTACCGCCGCCGCATCCAAGAGCGGGGCGTGCTCGGGGCGCTGCCGTGGAAGCCGAGCGACTCCGCGGAGTTGTCAGTCTCCCGCCTGTGATTTTTTTTTTCAAAAAAAAAGAGAAGAGAAGCGAAGAAATGAAATGAAAAGGAAGACAGACGCGGGTGACGTTGGGCGCGCCTGCACATGCGCACACGGGGAGGAACGGCGACGCATCCCGTTCGATGCGGCGGTGGCGCAAGAAAGGAATATGAACGCGCAAGCAAAAAAAAAACGACAGAAATAAAGGCAGGAAAGACGAAGTGTCGTGGCAGTAAATCAAGAACTGCCGCCACGGTAGCGAAGCAGAATAAAAAAATACAACGGCGGTCGTGAACTTCCCCCCACTGTATTATTATTTCTATTGGTAGTAGTAGTAGTAGTAAAAGTTTACTGCCTCCGCCCCCACTCTGCAGGTGCAATGCTGTGTGTCTGTTTGTGTGTGTGTCTCTCTCTCTCTCTGTGTGTGTGTGTGTGTCTGTTTGTGTGTCTCTCTCTCTCTCTGTGTGTGTGTGTGTCTGTTTGTGTGTCTCTCTCTCTCTCGCTGTGTGTGTGTGTGTGTGTCTGTTTGTGTGTCTCTCTCTGTGTGTGTGCCCGTTTGCGTGTGTGATGTTCAGTTGGTTTGTTATCGTCGTGCAGTTTGACCTCCGCGTCGCCGCCGCCGTTCTCGCACGAGCTCACCTGCCCGTCGTTGCCTGCCCGCCACACAAGACCTCCTGCGCCTTGTTTCCCGCCTTTGCCGCCGCCATCGGCAGGGAAAGCACATTTTATTGACCTTCGCTGCGTCGTCGTTGCTGTCGCGCGTGCCACCAGCCGACCGGGAAGAAAACAACAAAC